TATATGCTTTGACAACCTTGGGAGCCCTATACAGCCCATACTGGGATGCACTTGGGGTTAAGTTAGCCCTAACGCTAAGCCTATTTGAGCGCGAATCGGGGGGGTCGGAATCTGCGAATCGGGGGGTACAAAATAGCCAGATACGGATAGAAACCCTAACGCTAAGCCTAATATGGCACGAATCGCACCCCGATTCGCGCCTCATATTGGTTAGGTATCGATTACTTGGGAACAATTTTGCTATCATCTACCCAATACCCAGAGCTTGCCTAATTAGGACTAGTCAATACCAAGACCCCAATACTCAGGGTATTAAGCACGGGCCTTAAGTTAATATCCACTGACAATTGCAAATCCTAATATCCTTAGGGCTAGATTAGGCCTAGATAGTATAAGGTGGCCTAAGGAGGGTAAGCTCCTAACACCTATTTTAGGCGCTGTTCTAACCTTAGTCCTAGTGCCTATGTAAATCTGTAGGATTAAGGTCTGTAAACTCGCCAAGCAATTGGGGATTAAGGTCGATTTCGACCTTAATCCTGTCAGGGATTGATGATAGAAGCTTAAGGCTCTTCCCGGCCTATGTACCCCCATGGGTCTCCAACTTGTGAAATTACATACAGCAGAATGTGGAAATCTCTCACAATCAAGCACCGTTGGTGCTGTTGCCGTGCCGCATTTCTCGATCCTAGCGCTTATGCGGTCGCATTGATTGGCTGGATTGACAGAAATGTTGTTTCAAGAGCGCCATGTATCACATTTTGCAATGCAGTGTTAGGCAACCGTGGCGGGCCACATTCGATCGACTATCTATACTTTAGCAGCCCTCAGAAGTGTCACTCAAGGTCGAGGTTCTCCATTCCACCACCGCATCTTGATTCCATTGTTTTCAACATACATATCACCTATGTCAAATTATTCAATCTATACGGAAAGAATCCTAAATAGCCGCATTTTCAGGCTGCTTTTCATACGCCCCGCTCTGGATCAGGATCAGCAACTGGAATGTTATTGCCTTCCTTTCAATATCGATTACGCACCTCCTTATGAAGCACTATCCTACGTATGGGGTAAATCCAATCTATCTGCTGAGATAAGATGCAACGGACGACCTATTACCATCGGAATAGAGCTCTTAAACGCACTGATCAGACTCCGCTCTCCCGAGGTTACACAGATAATCTGGGCGGATGCGCTTTGTATCAACCAGAGTGACAAAGCAGAGAAGAGTCACCAGGTGCCCCTGATGGGGAGCATCTATTCCTCGGCAAAGAGAGTTGTCGTCTGGCTAGGACAGGGAGATGAGAAATATATCATTGAGGCTTTTGAATACAGTACAGAAGTCGCTAAAGCTTGCCTCCGATACGACGAAGAGCGTGGCTTACCCCTAAATCACGAGGAAAGATACGAAACGCTAGATTTTCCAAAAGACGCTTTCCCTCCAAGTGCTTGGAAAAGCCTGCAGGAGCTATACGAACGACCTTGGTTCTCTAGAGTCTGGTGTGTCCAAGAAATCCGCCTGGCGCAAGCTGCCTTTGTCCTCTGGGGGGATTTTGGGATTGACTGGCAATATCTGAGTTTAGCCGCCTCCTGGGTATTCGACAAGAGCGACCAAGAGACTGACTTTGAGGTACCATCTGCCGTTGGGCAGAGTGTCTCACACCCCGATATCTTGCGCGATAAATACCGATATCCGCTGCTCGAGGCTTTACAGGCCTTCCGAGAATTCGAGTCGACCGACCCTAGAGACAAAGTGTATGGGCTTCTAAATCTGGTTGAAAACCAGTCTGAAATAGATGCTCTAGCCCTAGATTATCATAAGAGTGTCGGTGAGGTTTACGCTGACACAGTTTTGGCCATTATTCGAGTTCACTCAAGGCTAAGCACGTTCGGCTACATCACACACCCTCCCAAGTATGATCCAGATAATGAAGAGAACTTGAAGTGTCGATGCAGATCTTGGGCGCCAAGGTGGGATGATTCGGCAGTGGCAGATGTACTGGGATTTTCTGAAAACGATTGTCGTTGGAAGCCTTACGGAGATAATGCAACAGTGATGATAGCTGGTCATGACTCTCGACCCGAGGAACTCTGCCTCAAAGGTGTGTACTACAACAGAGTATGCAGCGTTGAAGGAATCATGGACTATTACAACCTGAAGGACCCGATGTACAACGATGAAAATCCCGCGAGCCCAGAGGACGATGATATGATTATCGAGACCGATTCTGAGTCCGACGACTCAGACCCTCTACTTGATATCTTTAACAAATTCTTTGTGGAATCAAGCTCAGAAGCTGTACACAGGGCGTGGGCTCGGACTTTGACTGCGGGTTGCTGGGATAAAAATCAAGATTACATTGAAAACTTGGACCCTGCCACTCAAGAGTCCTACTATCGGGCTTATCCTCGTTTCATGCGCAGATTGAAAGAGTTCCAAGTTACCGGGACAGAGGGCAACTTTGCTCACGATGAAGATTCGGCCAAATTCCAACGCACTGTTTATAGCATTTGCAGGCAAAGACGCGTATTCTGGACAGATAATATGACCTTTGGTCTCGGTCCACAATGTATGCGACCAGCGATATTGTAGTAGTGCTATATGGGGGCAACACACCTCATATCTTACGGCCGAAAGGAGACAAATATCTGTTCATGGGGCAGGCTTACGTCGATAATATTATGCATGGAGAAATTTTCGACGGTTCGGAGGAATATGAGGAAAGAACATTTTGCCTCATTTAGAGAAAAACCTCAACGTCAAGGATAGAGATTCTGCGGCTTCAGCATTATCCGCCATTGCACGGGTATATCGCTGCGATGAGAGCATCCGATTTTCTCACATGCAGCGTCATTGCCTAGTGTATCTAGTAACTAAATAGTTTTCCTTTTTCTATTAAGAGGGCGATTGGAAATCTTATAGTGTATAAGTACGGTTAGGGTTAGCTGTCTTTACACTTACAAAGTCACTAACTAAATTTTGCTGTAGTAACTCCAGTTTCACTTGCTGCACTATGAAAAGCCCTATTAGATATATCACCACGCTTCTTCCAGTATTCACACTCTTCGACTTCACTTCGTCTAGATTACATTACTAATTTTAGTAATACTATGTGAAAGCCCTATACTATTGATGCACACATAAAAGCTTAATAGGGTTTAAGGATACAATAGATGAAGATCTAATTCTAGATACTGTATTGGGCTTTTAGAGATTCCTCGTGACTTTTATTTACACGCTTTTCCTACGTCATCTAACGGCCCTCCCTTAACCTTTCCCCTAAGAATATTGTAATGGGCTACGCCCTTAAGAGCAGCGCTGCGATATGTGCGCGCGCCAATATCGAGTATATATATCCAGCTATCATTACAACAAGACAAGCTTGTTGTCTTGTGCATACCTTTTGGTACACTGGACGGCGCGAGTAGCTGCGCGCGTGGTTATTTTAACCCGCCCGTTACAGTAAGATAACCAGCTAAAATATTTATAATACTACGCTTGTTAGCGAAGGTATAGAAGATTCTAAGTAACTATTTAATATATTACTAGAATAAGCTTAAGAGATATAAGATTTATAGTTTACTATAATAAGAGTAAATAATAAAATCTATCTATCCTTATGTTCTTATTACTTCTAGTTCTATTCTCTTTAGCTTCTTATCTTGGCGGGATGTTTGGGAGGACATTGGCCTCCCTATCTACAGTGGCCTCCCGGAGGCTATGCCTTGGCGGGATGCCAAGTCACGTGATTTCGCCCCGCGATAATCATCCTACTCGTTGAGATCCCCAGTGGTCTCCCAACCATTCATCGTTATACCCAGGGAGAGGATCCTTCTTGCTGTTACTTGTAACACTGAACTATTGCACGCACTGACTACACGCAGTACTTCTCTAGCTTTAAAAAAATTTAATATAGATACTAAGAGAGTTAGGCCGATAGATATCTCTGTTAGTGATAATCTTTAGAAGCTACCACTGCATAGCGTAGTATTATTAAAATCGCCGAGCTACATTATCGTGAGTTCTTATAGCTGGGTAGGTACGTGCATCTAATGAGCCGCTTAGAAATCGTGGCTTAATGCCGTGCGGTTCGGTCCGTACGGTCGCCTAGAGATTGTAAAGGCATGCGATAACATTAATGCTGTCAGTGATGTTTTTAGGGTCAAACTCGATATCCATTAACGTGAACGGCAAGCGAAGCGGCCAACTTTGCAAGACTATACCTTCCTTCACCTTAAACAACAATGTCTCAACAAAATATAGAATTACTCTCTGGTGAGGATAGGGTTATCTTGGGTATTCAAACAACAAAATCCAACGCGACTCCAAGTGAGCGACGCGCTGCTGCAACCTATAATATTCATCAAGTAACCCCCTAAGACCGACGCCCTGGCATACATATGGTGCTCATGTGGGTTCAGGATATGATTATGCCCCAACAACAGCTGCGGTGCTAATAATAACTATCGCCAGCGCGAGTCAGGGAGGGAGCGGAAATGAAGCGTTTTGCGGGATATGCTACGCTTAACATAACAGTGTACTAGACGATTTTGACGGGCTAGAGATAGCGGATGCTATATCAAGAAGACGGTAGAGCAGCTACAGTATGTAGTTGCAGTAAAAGTAGTAGTTCTTTGAGCAAAAAATCCTTTGCGGCTGGTTTCGCAAAATGTATTCGCGGGGTTTAGTATAAATAGTTAACGTAACTATTACTTTACTTAGCTAGTATATCTAGCCAGCTTCGGACGAATATCAACTCAAGGACGAAACCCGGACCTATCACATTACGTATCCTACATTTTCACAAGACTAGTGAAATAGCACGACTTAGTTAACAATTACTAAACTCTTGTTTTCTGATCTAAGAAAAAACTATAAAGCGTGCAGTTTGAGTGCGTGATAGATAGAATAGGCACCTTCCGCTACTCTCTCCATTACATCTAACAATATTTAAACTCCAACATCGGGTCACAGACTATTAAAACACCAGCCACCATCATGCCTATCCAAGCCATTGTCCAGTCATCCCTCGAGGCCGTTGAATTCGTTGACACTCCAATTCCCACACCAAAGCCCGATCAAGTTGTGATTAAAGTAGTTGCCGCAGCTTCCAACCCCAAAGACTGGAAAATGACAGCCTGGTAACTATTCCTACAATGCTCATGCATTATATTAGGGAGGCTAATATCTCCAGGTATAAAAACCCTCACAACTCAGGCGATGACGTTGCTGGCGTTGTTCACTCTGTCGGCAACTCAGTCCGCAACTTCAAACCCGGCGACCGCGTCTTCGCTTACCACCAGCCTCTCGCTGCAGATGGTGCATACGCCGAGTACGCTGTTGCGGCCGTGCAGGCAACTTCCCACTTACCTACCAACATGTCGTTTGAAGAAGCGTCTACGATACCAACGGCAGCCTTTACAGCTGCCGTGGGGCTATTCATCGACCTCGAAATTCGTGCACCTTTTCTCCCCATGCCCGACGAGGGAGCCAGCAAAAAGAGACCACTCCTCATCTACGGTGTGACCGCAGCAGTCGGGGCTTTTGTCGCCAAACTTGCGCGCCTCGCGGGAATGAGTCCCATCATTGGCATCGCTGGACGAGCTGGAGAGTACGCAAAAACACTAGTTGATTATGTCATCGATTACCGCCAAAGTGACGCTGAGATACTTGCCGCTATCGAAGCAATACTGGAGCAAGAAGGACTCGGAAAAAAGGTTCCTACAGTATTCGACGCCATCTCCGAGCATGGCTCTCTGGAACTGACTACACAATTTATCGATACGAACGGCGGACTAGTAGCAACCGTATTGCCCCCGGAAATGTTCGCGCGCAACAAAGAGGCATTTACATACCCAGAGGGCGTCAAGGCTAGGTGTATCAAGACAGGGAGGATTTTCAATACAGATAAGGACTTTGCGTTTATATGGAGTACCTATATAGAGCAATTACTGGAGAGTGGTAGGCTGAAGGGTCACCCCTATGAAATTGTGCCTGGCGGGCTCAAGGGAGTGATTGAAGGACTGCAAAATTTACGAGATGGGAAAGCTAGTGCTGTAAAATATGTTTACAGAATTGAGGAGACTGGATCTATTAATTTAGGTCTGTTTCAAGGGAATAGCAAATAAAACTTTCTGGTTGGGTCTTCGGCACACTAGGGAGGGAGTTAGTAATCTCTATCTAGAAGGCTCCAATTAGAGCTAGTCTATAACAGAGTCCTATAGACTTCCCGTAGCCATACAAACAATTTTTATTTCTAACGTGCGGTATTAGTAAGCTGCGCGTATCAGTAAGCTGCGCACCCCACCAAACCTGACTATTACACGGGGTTAGGCTATACTTCTCTAAGTCTCTATTTAGGTTAGAGTAAGATAAATCCTCATATATAGTTAGCCGTATAATATTTTAGTAATTATAATAGAGAAAATAGTTATAGTTAGAAGTTAAGTAGTGTCAAGATACTTAAGATAGTAGAAGCTAGCCCTCGGGGACCCGTTAGAGACTACTTAGGCTAGAGGCGCGATAGCCATAGAGATAGAGTATATAGTTCTACTAGAACTCTTAGGTGTCCCTCTAAGAATTTATCTTAATCTACTTATCTAATAACTAGTTAGGCTATCTACTTATCTTTAGAGCTACATATCAAGTGATGTATAGTCTTAATACTTTCTGAGATAGATAGAAAGTTTTACTATTCTTATAACTATTCTTCTAAATATAGAGTAGAAGAATTGAAATTATAAGATATTTAATAGATAAGCGTAATATATATTAGATAAGTAGATTAAGATATACTCTATTTCTATAGCTGTCGCGCCTCCGGCCTAAATAGTATCTAATAGGTCTCTAAGGACTGGCCTCTACTCTCTAAAGTATCGTGACAAAATTAGAAATTATTAAACTTATTATTATCTATCTTATGAGTACCCTACTCTACTATCTTACTGGAGAAACCTTACGGAACACTAACGTAAAGCTTACTAGCCTTAGTGCGGACCTAGTAAGAGGAGTATAGTGTTAAGAGTATAGCTCGAGTGGAAGTAATATAAGNCTTCTGGTGTCAAGCTTCTTATTGNTTAGTTTTCGCAGATAGAGAGACAGTGTGCAATAGGACAGTAACTTAGGCAAGTAGAATAACTCTGTGTATTGTACTTGTACTCAGAACTTAAGTTAAACACATCGAGCTATAAGGGCTCAATACCTGCTGCTATATACTAGAGCTTCATGCAATATGCTCGGTTGCTCAGTAGTGCCAAGGCATACTGATCACTGAGCAGCTTGCAGGTTAATATGCAGAGTGCTCAGTTGCTCAGTAGTGCTAAGACATACTGATCACTGAGCATCGTGCAGATCCGTAATACACTAGTCCTAAATGAGTGTCTTCGTTTCCTGCAGTTGTTCTGCCTTCTCATAGATTACTCGTTAAATAAATCTAACGGCGAAATGTCCTCCACATTCTGAGGCTGGTCGTAACATATAGACCAAAACCTCGTGTAACAGCAATAGTATATTATGTAACTCCCTTAACCTAGCGATGATTACTACCTTCTAACGTGAACGGTCTTTAGCTTCTAGCTTTCTCGTCTCTTGTTAATAGGTGAATCCTGCTTGTTACTTATAACAGAGAAGCACACACCTAAACTCTATGTAACATTCTATGCTTGGAGATGTATAATTCTACCTAGCTAAGGCGCAAATTATATAGTGTTTCGCAGATAGGCACAATATATATTAGATAAGGAGATTAAGACGAATTCTTAGGGAATACCTAAGGGTTCTAGTAGGGCTATATACTCTATCTCTGTGGCTGTCGCGCCTCTGGCCTAAGTGGTATCCGACGGGTCCCTGAGGGCTGGCCTCTACTGCCCAAAGTATCGTGACACAGATTTAGATTTGCGTGCTAGTAGATATGTGATCACAATCAGCTAAGGCGCAAATTTAGATTTCCGTGCTAGCAGATGTGTGATTATAATTAGCTAAGGCGCAATCTAGAATTACGTGTTAGACACTTACTTCTTAGGGCCTGTTTACTTCCGCGGTTGCGTTTTGCCTTTTACGTTTTTGTTACTAGATTTGGGCTAGGTCTTTGGAGACGATACCGTGCTCGGCAAAGCGCAACCTAAATCTAGCAATAAAAACGCAGAACGCAACCGCGGAAGTAAACAGGCCCTTAGTCCCAACAGATAGAAGATATCGCTGGACTCTTCTGCTAGAAGAGATAATAGCTTAGCGATGTGCGCTCTAAACTAGTTACAGTCTGTGATAGTAACTATCCATGTCAGGCTATGTATAAAGAATAAGAAGAAACTAGCTAATAGGTATGTTCGACACGATTATGCACTGTTATATTAGCTCCACAGTTTGCTTACGAATAGAATCATAGGTACGGCCGTGGATATGCCGTCGAAGCGTAGCGATAGAGAGTAAGGCTTAATATAATTAAGTGGGCGGTGGACCCGCATATGTACGCCCGGAGCAAAGCGATAAGAGAGAGGTAAAGGTAAAATCAGGTATGTAGGAAGAGGTGCGTAGGTAATAGGCCCGTTAGGTGTTATGTCTTGACGCATGTCTGCCGTGTTTGACGCTGCCGCTTTAGCGGGATCGGCTCTAAGAAGAAAGTATAGACAATAGTTTCCTTATTCAACTTAGACGGGGGATAAGAGTGAGGCAATGTAATAGAAGCTACGCAGCGTACCTATACTCTGGCCAGAAGACAACACCTCACTTACTGCGCCCCATCCACTCGTCCATTGTACTCCCGGGAGACCTTCCAGTATTGTTGAAGACCATGCCGAAGCCCCTAACTATCTTACTGGATGAATTATGGACACGTCAGACGTTGATATTGGAGTGGATTCTAACTAAAGTCCTCGCAGATTAGCCACGGCCATACTTCGTATCTCTAGTCCGTCCATGTTGATCTTGCCAGCTTCAGAGCGTTTGCTATCAGTTTCTGAAGCAGAGCCACTGCTTCCGTTCCAGAATCAGTTAAGCGTGGCGTTTTTGTGAGTATTTTTGGCGGAGCATGTGAAAAGCCGATCATATAGCAAAGGTTCTTAAATTCAGAGACAGGTTCCACTTCATTCCTTACATCGTCAACGCGCGCTACGTCCTCTCCTCTATCCATCTTCCCAGAACATCGAAATGCGGCAGTAAGCTATAGCGAAGATGTGAACAAGAGAAATGCTAACTTAAGCACTAGAAAATTGCGATGCTGGAAGCTATCCTAACGCTCGCTGCTGCTAGCAGCACCCATGCCCTGTTTCTTGCCGTCCAAAATATGAACTATGGATCTGGTCTCGGAAATGCGGTATTCTCATCGCCGTACTGCCAGGTTGGCAAGGGCAATACCGCCGCAGAGGCCCTTTCAAAAGCCAGTGATACCGTACATGGCACACTGATTATTGCCGGAGGTCACTGCGACCAGCTGCCATACAAGCACACAAACCAACTTGGTGGATTTTGGGATGACTATGGTACAGTCAATTACGAAGATAACAACTGGCATTGGTACTGCAATCCTGGTAGTGGAAACAAAGGTGTATGCGATTCCGGGAACGGAGCTCCAAAGAAGAAGAGAGAAGTCGAGTTTGCTGCCTAGCCTCTACAGCGTACTTCTAACAATATTATCTGACTTCTTTGCTCCTAAGTTCAACTTACAACATGTTGCATCACTAAGTGATCTACTTTGCTACTCCAATCTACCTCCACAGCTGTATTGCATGACACTACTCTAAGTTTTTCTTACTAGATAGAACAGGAGATTGCTACTTAGACTGATCGTTATCCTATAAATCCTTTGCTTCTATGTAACAGGTTCGAAAGATGTACCCTTTGTAGTTGCAAGGCCTGCAACACTAAGCTGATGTGTTAAGACTTGTAATTGAAGAATGATTACTAGTCATCGTATGGCACTGCTTTTCACACGTTCTGAGCAAGATATTGAGTGATACAATGTAACATTGATGTGGGTATACTTTTGCTCAGCCTAGCTCATGTCTAAGTTATGGCATAGCTTGGCTGCCAGGCAATTTAATATGCAAGGAAACACGGAAAAGTCATACGCGCGCTCCATGCCCTAGGTTGAGAATTGGTGAATCGTTCCACATTACAAGTAAAGATATTAGACTTTATGGAGGCCGCACTGCTCTAGAAGGTTATTTATTACCATTCTATCCGTACATGCCTGTGGTGCAACTCGCACGCGGACTAGTGGGTTTAATTTTCTGCGTTTGTGAGAGATTCTACGTGCATCATGCGATCTACTCTTCGACATAAGCCACCTCATTCTGGTCAGAGACTCCATTGCTACATTTTGCTTTTTACCCATTCACTCATTCGAGCCATTCTGGCAAGAAGACCCCGACCGCAAGAGAGGCAGCGGGGATAGAAGCTGGCCCTAGCTGAAGCTTTCACAACGTGACACCAGTGGTCGTTACAGTGAAGTTTGCCAAAGTACCCAGTCAAACGCCTAAAGTTTTCCAAATTTGCCATGACGTGAGAGGTTCTTCCCGACTTAGAGTGGGAGCGACCTCAGCGGGGAATACGGGCACGGTAACTCCCTCTAGAATACCAAGTAGAATGCGTGAAGAAGGCTCGAGTAACATCACACAATCTACTGCCATCCTCAAGCGACGGTGTATGGCTTTCGTGCGTCTCTCTCTTCAGTCGCACAGGACTCCTCTTTAATCTTGGATTTCGAGATAGGAGAAATTGAGCGAGCCACTTCTGACTCTTGATGACGAACTGGCATCACCGATCTCTCAACGACAAGATCGGTAGCAACAGTGGCGGGAATACAAACAGTCGGAGTATAGGTTTGAATGGGAAATCAGTGGCAACATCCAATGCATAGTAGAGTCATGCTGCAAGTATTTCAAGTTCCACAAGTGTTGCATTTAAATCCCTTGTGGTATCATGGCCCTTTGTTCGACGTTGGGTTTTGAATTTGATGTTATATTTCTGGTTATGCGGATCGCTTTTGCTTTGCCCCTTGTGCTAGAGAACAAGGATACTAACAAATGAGCAGTGTGTGCAAAGACTCACTCTGCGGAAAGAAAGGAGACTTGCAGAAATTGGACAGGGTGTATATCCATTTAGGACCACACTGACACAGAGTCACATCTAGCATCGTCATTAGAGCTTTGCAAGCCATATAAGGCAAGGGTACGCTCTTGATCCATTATGTGGCTGATTTGCAAGTTGTCTATTAAGAATCTCAGCTCACGTGTGCCGCTCGCAGATACTACGCTGGGCACAAAAAGTAAGCAAGGCTTAGTTCTACACTTAGGAAAAGCCGCAATGGACTTCTCACAGCACCCACAATGTTAATCACTCTTGTACTGGTCATTCACTACATATTACGAATCATGCTGCAACCAAGCAAGGTATACCAATAAAGCCTGGCGGTTAGTAATAGATCACACGGGAAGTGACGACTTTGTTAACGATGAATCTGTTAATGTTCTGCTCCGGAGCCTTCAGGGTAATTCGATAGCACTACATAATAATAGCCATTCAAGCTTGAGATAGATGGATTTATCCAGAAGTCGCACGATCGATTGCGAAGGTTTCAGATATCAAAGGCTAATGTAGCCAAGGTTCAGCATAGCTAAAAACTGATATGGCTGACCTTTTTCATAACTCCTTCGTAGCTGAAATCATCAACCTAAAAGGCTACGTAATCTTTTTAGGCGTCATGAATGGAGCCTTGTTAGCCTTAGGCGCGGCATGCACAAGCGTCAAGGATCCTCTACTGTTGACCGGGGGACTCGAAGGTCGAATTCCGGAACTGCTATTCACATAAGTCGAGTTGAAGATGTTCAGCCCTAGTTTAGTATTTATTTACTTGCCGACTCGGCCGCAATCTCCAGTTGCCGTCAAAATGAAATAAATAATTCGGAAGATAGACTATGAGAAATACAAACGGACTAAGAGTACTTAAGAACAATCGCAGACATTGGAAAGATTACGGATGAGCTAGCGCGTCTGTGGTGCAGTCAATTCTGTGGCCATCGATCCCACTATACGCATTAATGCGCGCCCACGCCGTTGCGGCTTCCGCACTAGACTAGAGAGGGTTGTCCTGCCCCCTATACCTAATGGCGTTCAGGCCATCAGTGGCTGAGCTCAGTGCAGAGAGGGTTACTCGACAACATCTGCTGTCGTTACTCTCGGAAGTGCAGCTTTGGAGCAGTGTTAGCTTCCACCAAGTCAGCCACTATTCTTATGTAGTTCGGAGCATCTCATTACAAGGTGTCTTCTTGCCCCTCAGTGTGTCTGACTGAGCCTTTATACCTCCCTTTTTCTCCACTCTTCCTTCTTCTTCTTCACATGCATCAGCCTGTGCTCAAATATGTGTTTGGAATTTGTTAATAACATTGATCTACTAACGCAATGATTCTCAGATAGCACCACACTTCGAAGCGGTAATTGCGGTAAGCAGATCTCTGTACTCGAGCCGTATCGCTCATCCTAGATTCTAGTTGCTGCATTTACGTCTATGATCTTTACACAAATCTATAGAGAGCTTGAAGTTTCTCTCGTTCCGAATCTCTTCACTTGCATAGTCCGTACGCCTGACTGATTCCACGACTGACACTATCACGATGAGTTATGGGCTGCAATCTACTCTAAGACGGTCAAGAACTGCATGTGAATCTTGCAGGAATCGCAAGAAAAAATGTGATGGTGCCCATGTGGCTTATGGAGCCTGCGAAAGGTTGAAACTTAGATCTTTATACCATCCGATGCTGAAATGGATGAAAACCAAGAAAATCTTTATTGAACGTTCTCTGGTACAGCAAAACAAGAGCAGTCGTGTCCTTGATGTTCCAAATTCTTCAACACAGTTCCAGTCGCTCGAAGTGTTGCTCAACTCGGCCCATCTCAGAGTCTGCAGCATACTGTTCTCTCAACACTTTGCGATCAGGACCAGAAGATACTGCTAGACCGTGAGCGCCGTGTTCATCTACCTAAACCACCCTATCGACCAATGAAACAGTCCCAGACGCTGTCTATGGTACTCTCGTCTCGAATTCTGAAATAAGCGATGACTTTCTCATATTCTTCAACGAGTGTGGGCAATCGTTCGCTAGTCTTTGGAGCAGCTTCTCCTATCAGGTATCAATGGATCGAGGTAGAGTCAAAATAGATTCTCAAATAGTATTCTTATAGTTTATAGATATTATATACTTCTATGAATGTATTAGTGTTTATTAGAGAGTGTTAGGGCGCTATGGCTGGCGCGTAACCTACTTACGAGTCGGTACCGTGTTAGAGAGTAGCTAAACAAACAGCATCCACATGCGCTTATAGCTTATCAAATGCGTTTAGTACACTTATTAATAGTAAGTAGGTGTTTATCCAAAAAGTTAGTAGCACGTACACAATACGACTTGCCAATGTTGGGAAAGTAGTCCTTAAATTCGCAGTTATTATTTGGAGGCCCTTTGGCCGCCCCAGGGTCATCAGTTGTAGCAGCACACTAAATCAAAGTTAGCTCATCTTCTTGCTCGTGAAGACTAAGACACTAGGCTCCGTCATTATAGCAAGGTAGGTAAAAAAAAATACTAGTTAACGTACGAAATTAGACCAATACTGGGTACCGGAGCATCCATTCTCAGCGGCGCCAGCCGTCCAGCATCTGGCCGCATTGCTACTCGCAACGAACACAGCAAGTATAGTTACAATAATAGAATTCTTCATAATGGATACGTATGTAGAGAATTGGTAGTGCTTAAGATTCCTCGATATTTATATCGTTCCGCTGTCTATTAAGGAACAGTAGACTAGTACGAAGCCACTATGCGATCTCCGAAAGTAAGCCAACTAACACTCCAGTAAGTAAGCTAGCTATAGCCTCGGGAGTAAGCCGGCCAGACTCTAACCAATAAGCGGCAACTCTACTCAATATTCGTACAGCATCTCCACTTCTTATCATTGTCATATTTAATTAGTAAGATAGGGGGTAGTTTAGGTAGATGGATCTTTCTTATTATCTGGTACGCGTGACTGAAGGAATCAACAGATTTCTCTTTAACTACACATCCTCTATTAGAAGAACGAACCAGACATAATTATATATCACCTTTTTAAACATGCGTTACTTAGGAAAACTAGGTGTGACTTACGTGTTCGAGTTTGTATAGATCTCACCGGTTCGAAGGCCCTACCGCCATAATAACGACGAATACGAGGATGATTACGAATTAGACTCAAATCTAGACTGGAAATTAGTGCGTGTTCTATACTATCGCTGCTTAGCGCAGTATATTATGCCGTAATAGCGGGCCTATATACATCAATTATGCCCTGTAGCACAGTAGTAAAAAGCAGGTCGGCCGACCATGGGTCGCTGCGCCATAGCGCCATAGCCCCATGCGCTACTCCCAATTAGATGAGCAGGCTCAGAACACCTTTGACATATGGGTGCGACCCTCAAATGCTGAGGAATGACCGTTAACAGTTAAGACGCTAGTCTGCCATGTAATGGCACAGGGTCGCAGAATATCTAACCCATAAACAACATCGCCGAACCAAAGTTCTAGCATCATTCTTGGGCCTGATAGTCCAAACTCTGCACTCATATTCGTTAAGCACCGACGAGAATATCATGTTATTCGGCTGGACTTATTACGTTGATACCCAGGACGCATACCTCGATGGCAATTCGACATCCATATAATCAGTGAGTACATGCTAAATGCAACGTTACAATACATCAAGCATTGTATTAGCAAGGCGGCGTGTTGAACCGCACTAAGCCTCCTCAACGAGTGTTCAAAGCAATTGTTCGTCATGCCAAGTGTCGTTGTGGCGTTAGAGCCACCTTGGAAGTTATCGATGAAGCCTTGCGCCATATTGCCATACTTGGCCCACGCAGCTACGACGAAGCGGCCCCGAAGGATGCGACATCAGTCTTTTGTACGAAGCTGCTTATGCAGTGTACATAGCGATTCACGGATCACATACCTGTTTCATGACAACTCGATCGCTTTGGTGGTATACAAGGAACCGGTTCATACCCTTCTTGTCCTTCTGCCCATACTAGAAGTCGGCAGTCACATTGAACAAGATATCTCCCCCCGCGCCATTTGCTGTGTCGAGCTTGCGGAACTCGTCTAATTTACCCGAAGAGATGAAGAGGTAGTATTTGGCGTTAGCTACAATGACAGGTTAGAGGCATGCCAACAAGGAAGACTGTTCCAAAGACCTACCCTTACTGGTGTTGGTGTACGCGACTTGGTAGTAGGTGTCCATCTTTTCCCTGAAACTCTGCTCCTATTTGATATCGACAAGGGCATCATCTGAAATCTTCAAGGATACTACTACTCAGAGAACTAATTTATACTCCTCAATATGCCTAGCCTCCGAGCAGATGAAGTTGAGAAGCTCTAGTGGGTGGTTCTACACGTTCACCTTGACTACGCTACACGAAGCAAGGGGCGAGCTGAGGTAAACGCAAAAAAGTTCAAATGGAAAGTTTCTGCGTCCAATGACCGCGTGCAACCGAGACCTGATCGCTCTAGACCTGGCATCTGCTTGTTAAACATGTCAATCAGTTGCAGGAGCCAGTGTGGTGGGCCTCCATTCGCAGGCATGGTGAACAGTCATCATGTGAGGTCATCACACATCGCTCGGACGTCCAGCCAGCCAGAACCAAGCTACCTGTTCTCCACTAGGGCATTATATATCACTATAGAGCGTTCCGGTATTGATCGGCCTCTCCCACGATCTGAGATCTAGTCCCTGCTCAGGTGTCTAGATTATCGGTTCGATGGGTCTCGCCTTTCTTATTCACTCTCGAGCTCCCCCTTCTCAAACAAACGACATGTGACACTTTACCTAGGAAGGAAAGGGAGTTTCAAATCGAGGGTTGCTGCGTTGCTAGCTAGAAACAGGGCCTTTTTTCACCAAGTGGATAAGGCGAGTGCAGCTCTTAACGAAGCCGCCACTAGACCATCAGATAGACCTGCCTACACTGTGAAAGATGTGATTGTTACCAAAGAGGTGCAGGATTTGATGAGCATGTCTAACAAGTATCAAAGAGGAAGCAACTAGTGGCCGGCATATCAAAACAAATAATGCATTCTTTCAGGACAAGACCAAGTAGCTTGGAAACTAGTCCATGCCTCGTCGAGCATGCCCCCACCTATCATCTCAATTAGACCATATGCGTCATACTAACATTACGACGTAGCCCGCATTCGACTATCCTCTTCCCTCCATGCCCGTCCCTTGATGAAATCGTAAGCCTTGGTCGGATGCGAGATGTGTCATTCCCGAGACGTACACACGAGGGAGTATCGATCGCTGGGTCGATTATCCTCGTTCCAGAGTCCAACTTCAAGGATACCAAGATTGCCCGCAAAGTGGCGGGTATATTAAATAGCCAAAATAGAGTAGTATAAGGTACAGAATCTCACACAATAGCTTTTCTCCTATCATCTTTCTTCTTGTAATATTATAGTTTAATAGACAGTGGTTCGAAGGCCTCTTTGCCTATAATAAGCTATATCGCTAGCAAGCACTCTTGTATCAACGATTTGTACCTAAAATAGTGATAAAGTAGAGAAGTGAATAGACCCTAGATGACTTGTGCCCCCTCGTGAGGTACATCGAGTCAAAGTCGCTGGTAGAGGCCGACGACGATGTCGCCCTTGCTTTTAACGACCTGCCAGACGTCAAGATTATTCTCTTTGAGCGTGCTGCCAGTAGATACGATAGCATCGCAGAGAAGATAAGTCTCACGTGGGTCGTTGACTAGGTATGATTCAGAGGAGCCGAGTACATGGTCAATCTTGTACGTGTCCCGTGGTACGCCAATGCTAGCAAGGTATGTTCGCACCATGCGCACATGCTCTGCTGCGATGCGTGCGGGATTGTCGGCAGTCCATGCGCGCGGGTTGATTTGCTGACCACGGCGGCGGATGAGTGCGAGCTTGATGTCAGTATCTGGTGCGGAAGCGACGAGGCGGGTGACGGTGGGGAAGTTGTCCATGACGGAGCTGTATGTCACGGCCATGTCGAGCGTGCCTTGGGCAAGGAGGCCCGGCATGTCCTTTGGCTTGGCAGATACGAAATGCACATGGACACGCTCGCCGAACGCCTTTGCGAACTTTGCCGTGTCGACAATCTTGTAGTCGACGCGTAGGCAGCGGCCCTCGGGGCGGATGAGCTTTATGCCGAGGTGGGCGAGGGCGAAATGATCTGTCTTGTCTTTGTACTTGCTCGCCGTCACGCCAATGGCCATGGAACCCGGCGGAGTGACTGCTCGCGCGAGCACGGCATCGACATCCCCATCCGCATCTGCGTTGCTGAATGCCCTCACTTGCGCTGGCGACAGTCCCACTCGGCGGGCGTATGTGTTGGCGAGCTGAACCATGGCCCCCGCCTCCTCGTCATGATGCGAATCGCGGGGCGGGCCGGCGGCGGTAAGCTGCCAGACATGGGCCTGCATGAGCGCCAGCAGACGCTCCGATGCGCCCTCATCCTCGTCCGTCGACACGGCCCGCCGGCGGGAGCGATCATGTGCAGCAAGGCGCTCGTACAGCGCCCGGTAGCGTGGCGTCAGCGTCAGCGTCGAGTCCGCGAGCACTTTGCGCGCGTGCAGGCCGTATGGCTCGTACGGGGCAACCATCTCGCCTTCGTGGAATGGGCGGCCACCAAGGTGCGCGCCGAGGAGCTGGTTGAGCTGGGTCCATTTATCGACAATCATCTCTTCAACACAGCTGCCACCAGTCCGCCAGACGTCCTTGTCGAATGCCTCCCCGTCTTTCGCGTTCGTCACCTCGCGCCGCTTGATGCGCATGCAGTCCTGGTTGATCTCGGACCACACCGAACGCCCCGCCTGGTCGAGCATAATGCATCCGTCCTGTACCTCGAGCCCGATTTGGTTGAGATAGTACTGGATCGTGAAGAAGACGCGTATGGTCGACTCCACCGATGCCTCGACCCTCTGCACGCTGTGCACGAGCTCCTCCGGTACACACTTGTCCCCAAACGACTTTGCGCGCGCTGTTAGGTACTCGTTGTAGAAGACGTCCTTACCAACAGACGCTTCCATGAGATGGTAGAACGGGTGTGTCGCAGGGTTGGTGCCCTTGTACGTATGGTTCGGGTTTCGCCAGTCGAAACGGACGTACGGCCCACGCCTGTAGTGGCCCGTTGGCAATGTAACGCTCGAGTCGCTGAGTATGCCGAAGAAGGAATGCTTGTCTGTTCCCGTGCAAACTTGCTTGTACACGGTCTCAATCGGCGTAATCTCAGTGCTGTGGGCCCAGATAAGCCCATGCGTGTTCAGGCCTCTGTACGTATGGCTGATTCCTGCACGATGGAGCATCTCAAGGAAGAGACGAGAGCCAGTTGCACGGATTGCACTGAGACCTCCAATTTCTGCCGTCGCCTGCTTGCTGTGCGAATAGATAGTCGGCTTAAGGAAGATAAGAATCTGATTGTCGAAGTGACGGGTCAGAGACGTCTCGACCTTGTAGATTTGCTTCGACTCGCCTTCACCGACCAGGCGAAGGCGTAGGGAGGCATTTTCATCGTGTAAGTCATCATAGTGGTTCACAAGCGCATGCACGAGGCCGGGGTCGCGGGAGCATTGAGCATAAACGTCTTCAGGTGTAAACATGGACGTCTCGCCGCACTCGATTGCAATGATCTCTTCTAGCCGCTGGGTGTAGTCTACTCCTGAAATCACCGCGCGGCGATTAGCTAAGGAGGCAACGTCGTTAGGAGTTAGTGTGCGCAAGGCAAGCATAGAGAAGACCGCAAGGACCTTGGGATTGCGGGCGAGGCTAATAATCTCAGACACAGTTTCGTCAACGCCCTTATTTCCCGTGTCCACGACGGGCAAGCCGTAGAACGCAGCTAGTTCCTGACAATTTATTAATTTTGCCTAATGGTAAGGTGATATGAAAAGAACATACAAGGAATCGCGCGCGGAAGTAGAAGAGAGATTTTTCAGTCTCCCACTTGTCTATGCTCGACCGCTTCGTGAGCCGCCCTTGAAGGACAGAGAGGTCAGCATCAAGAATTATCCGCACGATTCTGCGCTGAATCCCATCTCTATCTGTGTACGATGTAGGGAGGGAGGTACGATCGTCGTCGACAAGTTGTAATGTGAGTTTGTCGAAGCTTCTAACGATGATATCATCTTCTAATGTAGGATCCTCGTCCCCACGAGCATAAACAACCTCACCAGCTGCCCTGAGAGCCGGAACCAGAGTAGATTTTCCAGTTGCGTCGTTGCCGTGGAGGACGATAGTATAGGCTGACCCAGACTTAGGGGGCAACAACAGGGCGGGAGACATGACTGCGCTGCGAGAAGATAACTGAGAGTAAAACTAAGAGGAGAACTGGCAATGTTCGTAGATAACTGCCAAAGCATCTAGTCACAACTTGCTGACCAGGTGAGTTATACAAAGTAGAGTTTCACAACTTATACGCATTCTGAAACAATACTTATCCAGTTCCTCTTTCTGAACTTACAGGTTTATTCGCATTAGTAGATTCCTTAGCTAATGACGAATTATCTTGCTCCTAATAGAATCCTCATTCAACCCACGATAGGGGGCCGTATCTCATGAATCTGGTGCTTTTCGTCGCGCTTGCACACAACTTTCCTACCATGCCTTAGCTCCATCATCAACTACGTAAGCTACAGCTGCCAAGATATTCTACCGTTTAGAGCGAGTATCGTCAGCGTGCAACTAGGAAGGTCGGGTAAGCGGACGGGCGGCTATCGGACCGATACGAGAGTGAGCCGAAAGCCGCACTGCACTATGCACCCCGTAGGCGCAAACCATGACATTGTTGCTAGTCTACTTAAGGTTAGCGACTGTGTCATCTTTTCCTGTGTTCAGGCAATGTTTGAAAAGAGATTCACAACTTTCAAGGTTCGGCTCAGCCGCACTGCTGTTGGAATGGTCCCACTATTTGCGGTTAAATCAGCCTTGGTACATCCTTCTCGCTACTTCCCGGGCTTACCTTTTGCCCTTTTCTCACTAGTCATCGCGTCAGCGCGCTCTCTGCCCTCAAGATACATTAGAAGATGCAGATCATTCCATCTAAGGCTCCCTCTCCAGTGTTCATTCTATTGTCATGGGTTGCCTGATTGTGGGGTTCAATATAGAATCACGTATTTCAACGTCTGGGCATTCTGTCTGCTCTTCGGAACCTTGCCAGACGCATCCAAAAGATTACTAGTCTTCAGCCCACACGTCATCCGATGTTGTCGAGCTAAAAGAATCCGAGTCTTGGAATCTGTCGACTCCAAGATGTCAGGCCACCACTTGCTGCTTGTCTCACTCTCTTCCGTTTGACTCTCCACCTCAGTTTGTGGGGATAACGTCTCCACAATAGCACTAAGGAATAATGCAACCTACGGACATATGCCCAAAATTTGCTGATACTCCACCAAAACAAGGACTCTGCATAACGATACGTCACTACGAAGAATGGTCAGTTTGCCTCACATAATGGTAGATTGGTCAGAATCGAGTTGAGGTTGGATTAGCTTATGTAACCCTGTAACCTCAACTCAACCCCGACTTAACCTTTGAAGGCTGTTGCTAGTTTTAGATAACATTAAAAGTAGATTTTGTAAGCTATAGTGCAAACCTAGAAGAATGTCTTGTCGAATTATGAATTCGAAAGCGACCTCCCACGACCCTACTGGCAGGAGATTTCTTTCTAGGACATCGGGAGTAATCATACAACAACTCACTCATCGTTCTATGAACGGGGTGTGGATTTCTGCCTCCCGAAAACTCTCGTTACCACTATAAGGATTGATAGAAAGGCTGTTGCGGCCCCACATGCGATTCCGAGAGCAAAGGCATGCTTCAAGCCATCCATGTAGCTTGATAACACTGCAGATATTTCGTTGTCAAACATTTCCCTTATCTTTAATGGACCAGCATCTACCACATTCTTTCCATCCAGTTTTGGCGCAAGATTGCTCAGAGAGTTAAGCATACCGTTAGCAAAAAGAGCTTGTCCCACGGATACGAATACAGCTCCACCAAGCAACTCGAAGAACATGGTCATGCCAACCATACTGGCAATATCATCAGACGCAAGCTTCTGCTGGTTTGCAACGAGAGCCACCTCCATCGAGACTCCAATACCGAGCCCGATAAGGACTTGGTACCCAATCCATTGCGCCGACGAGGACGAGAGGTCTAGAGTGTATACGACCGCAGACCCAGCAACAGTAACAAAAGCACCTAGGATGAGAGGTGGAGTCCAAAGCGTAGTTCTACCCATGAAAGAAGTCGATAAGATGGTTGCAAGGGACACAGCGAGTATCAGTGGGATGTTCCGGATGCCGCTTTGTGCGGCACTGACACCTTGGATTGCCTGGAAGTATACCGGAAGGAAGTATACAAGGGGAAAATAGGCACCCGAAACCAAGAATGTGTAGATGCAATTTGGCCAAACAGGCCATCTTTTGAGAAGGCGAGAAGGGATGAGCGCGCGATCGCCCATGACGACCTCGTTTACAATGAAGAAGAGGACAAGGACGCCGGAAAGAACCAAGGTCGCGATCACGGAAGCCGAAGACCACTCTCTACTAACACCGCCCCACTGCATAGCCAGCAGGAAGCAAATCATAGACGCAGTCATAATCGTTGTGCCGACAATGTCCAACTCGAGATGAAGCTCTTGCCATCGGTGTGGTTTACTTGCGTCCTTCGCTGCCTGTGGTGTTTGGAAGATCGCGATGAAGGCTGTGGCAGCTACTCCACCTATCGGCAGATTGATATAGAATGTCCATCGCCAAGAGACATCAGTGGTAAGTACACCGCCAATGAGAGGTCCTACTACACTAGCGAAGCTGAATGTTGCTCCGATGATGCCGATGCACACAGCTCTCCATCGCTCGTTGGTAACGAAGGCAATGATGACGAAAACGCCACCTATGATCCCGGATGCTCCAATACCAGCAATGGCCCGTCCTGCAATAACGGTCGAACTGTCTTTCGCGACGCCGCTGATCAGGCACCCGATTTCGAAAATTGCGATGGACCATAGAAACATGCGCTTGAGATCGAACATGCCGTAGACCTTACCCCATGTTGATTGGAAAGTGGCTTGCGTGAGGAAAAACACAGAGCCGTACCATCCTACGTGGTCGAGAGATTGGAATGCGTCGGCAATTGCTGGGACAGCGGTTGCAACAATCGTCATGTCGAGGGCGGCAAGAAAGCAGCAGAGGATGAGAGTAGTCAAAATGGCAACAAATCTCCAGCCCTTTGGGAGCTGCTCTGCGCCCACATCCAAAGTCGAGGTCGTCGGAGTGCGCATGTCATCTTCGACCTTCTCCTGCTCGACTTTTGTAGCTGGAATTGCTTCCCCAACGCCGCGTTGGACGGATTCATCTGGCTCTTGTATTTCTTCTTGAGCCATGATGGCTTGGGGGCCGGAGATTGATATCAGAGAGAGCTCTTGAGATTTGGTCTGACAGACTCGGAGATTCGAGTGTGATTGGGAGCAAGGGGACTGGGAAGGTGGCGAGTGAACCAGTCTGTAACCACATGCGACAGGTAAAAGCAGCCCAGGAATGAGAAAGCGACGTATCCTTTATATATTGAGTGCAACAAAGAAACCCTATTTAAATCCCTGCTTAGCGAAGCAGGGACTCACTGTGTCTGCTTGTACATGCTCATCACGTGCTCCTTGCTTCTGTTCATTCGCTTCGGACATGAGTCAAACTCGTTCAATTCTCGCCAAGCTTCAAGGAAACTACACTATTCTTCCAAGCCCGTGGTTATATAGGTCTACAAGCGTAGTTGATTGCATCGGTTATTGTCGGGGCATAGTATAAGATGCCGATATCCGAGAGCCGGTAAGCTACCCAATTGGCTCAGATTCAGGGATTCTACCGTTACAGCCAATCAGACCGCTTAGTAATTCTTAGTCTCTGATACTGTAGTTCGAATTTTTGTAGTTACTGTTAATCATGTATATCAGAATTAGGAGACTCCGCAAAAGCAAGTAGCGGCAAAATTCAGCGTAGGATTTTGTTGGGTCATGCCAAGAGCGCTCGGGGTTTATGCCACCAATAGATGTACATAGGGCTAGCTCAGCTAAAAGGGATGAAATACGATCACATCAGCACGCTCACTTACCTTCCTTTTCAGTAGCTACAACCGTAGAAGGATGTTGATCGTCTGAATGGATTTGCGCCAAGATTACCCCACGGGGTTCCGGCGTCCATTGTTGAGCAAGTAATACTCGAATGCACTTACGTACTCCGAACGAAGGATTATTTCGAAGGTCGCACACGAGAGCGCAGAGATTCATTCGAGTCACAGATCTCGGTGCCCTGCGTCACGATCCTTGGCATCGGGGATTCTAGCCAATTATTCTATTTGTACTGAAACCTCACCGAGCACACCTTGCATACAACAGTAACCCTATCCCTAATGACGCCATAGGGGCAGCTGTCATTGCTGAAATCACATGACTGCTTACTACGAGAACGTGCTAGTGGTTCTTCACTCATCGTGGGTCCTTAGTAATAGTCAGGAAAGAGGGTAAACAACCAGCATATAATTATAGTTAAGAAGCCCTTACGGTCTCCTGTATTCACTCAAAGTTACAACTCACTTGCTCAAAAGTACTCTGATATTCTATCTTGCTATTCTACTGTGTCATTGCAATCTTTGATCTTTCAGCTCGTAAACTTCTCAATCACCCCCCATACAATACCATGGCAAGCCGTGGCAGCTCGCACTATCGTATAGCTATCGTTGGAATAGGCCATCGCGGGTACAAGACGCATTTTCTCTCCATCTATGGCTCTCCTTCTGAGTCTGTCATTGCGGTCTGCGATGCAGATGAGAAACGACTCTCCGAATTCTCACGCAAGCATCCCGATATTCCAACCTTCACTACCATTGAAGAACTTCTATCAAACCATACTCCGGATTTTGCTCTCGTTTGTCTGCCACATCATGTGTACGAGCACTGTCTTGGACAATTGTCAAAGGCAGGGGTCCATATCTTGAAGGAAAAGCCTGCTGCCAATGATGTCGAAGAGTGGAAGGATCTAAGCAGGCTGCCTGTCAAGATTGGTGTCACCTTCCAAAAGAGATTTGAACCGAGGTACCAACAGCTATCGAGCTTGCTACCTATGCTTGGTCGTGTTGTCTCAGTTCGCGCCACCCTTGCTCGTAACATTCAAACCCTCGACGCGAGCTGGAGAGCGTCTGGTGTAGGCGTCACGGTAATCATCCCCCTCACTCCTAACTCCCCAACATCCAACCTAATCTTTCTGGATGACTGAAGCACGGCAACTAACATTTTTGCAGGAAGATCTCGGTGTTCACATGCTAGATATCCTGGTCTGGCTTTTTGGACCCCCCTCCACTCTGACTTCTCTCAAAGCCGATGATGTCCGCCCGTTCCAGACCTATGCCGGCGAAGATGTCGCTGAAATCTCTTTGCGTTGGGATCAACAATCTATCATTGGAAGCGTGCATCTTTCGCGTGTCGCACATGTAGACTCCGAATCTGTCGTCATAACCGGGACGTCAGGCACTGCTGTATTGGACGATAAGAAGGTTTCGCTACTTGGTCCGGACGGAATCACAATGCTGTCGATCCAGGATGAATCGTCCAAGCAAACCATAGTCCGCAAGATGGTTCGTGGCTTTGGTGACTACATTACGGATGCATCAGCCGCATACCCTTGTACTTTGGAAGCTCACTATGATACTGTGATCACATCTGACGCAGCAAAGAAATCACAGATATCTGGAACAAGTGAGATTGTCAAAGCAGCATCGCGAGCTGAAGCCGACTTCGAATGGCCAATCATTACCCCTAAGATTGAAAAAGCCACCATCGAACAAATGCACTCGACTCTCTCTATTTACAATCGCTCTGGGATCTACGAAGTGTTTGAAGACAGATGGAAAGATATGCATGGGTTGAAGCATGCGTTGGTGTGCAGTTCAGGCACGATTGCGATTCTTGTGAGTTTTACGTGTTATGGAATCCATGTGCCAATCATACTGATTCATGATGTTTGTAGCATATGTTCGAGGCTCTTTGTCTGCAGCCAGGTGACGAGATACTGTGCCCTGTATACACCTTCTTTGCCACGGCAACTCCGATGCTGCAATATGGAGCCGTTCCAGTTTTCTGTGACTGTCTCGAGGACGGTAACATAGACCCCAACGAGATTTTGAAACGCCAAACACCCAAGACCAAAGCTGTCATCGTCACCCATATGTGGGGTCTGCCGTGCCGAATGAGTGAGATCGTGGCCAACGCCAAATCCGTGAATGGCGGCATCAAGGTCCTTGAAGACTGCTCGCACGCACACACTGCAATGATCGACGGGAAGATGGTGGGTACTTGGGGAGACATGGCAGCATGGTCTCTTCAGGCCAAGAAGAACATCACCGGAGGCCAGGCTGGTGTGTTTGCTACCAACTCGACCGATTACTATGCGCATGCCGTGTCTCACGGCCATTTCAACAAGCGTGCAAAGCAAGAGGTTCCCCAAGACCATCCTCTCCGGAAGTTCTGGCTCACGGGTCTGGGCCTCAATCTACGTGCTCACCCTCTTGCCATCGCCATGGCCAATATACAACTGGACACCCACCCACTAGCGCAGAAGTACCGGGAGAAGTACGCAAAGCAGCTCATTTCTGGCCTGAGAGAAATTCCTTTCTTGAAAATGCCTGTCATTGACGATCAACGCAAGGTTAAACACGCGTGGTATGCCTTCGTCATGCAGTTTGATGCTTCGCGCGCACCGACAGGCCTAACTCGAGAGAACTTCGTGCAGCACTTGAATGAGATCGCTGGGTTATGTGAGGTCGATATTCCCAATAGTACGGGTCTTTTGCATGACCTTCCACTCTTCACCAATACTGCAGAGGCGATTCCGCGCTTTGGCACTCCTGGGCCGTGGAAGAAGTCACAGGAAACTAGGGAATTTCCTAATGCTCTGAACTTTTACAATACTGCAATCAAGTTGCCCGTGTGGACACAAGCCAGCGATGAGAAGATAGTGAAACGATACATTGCGGGCTTTAATCAGGTTGCCCGGGAGGCCTTTGCAGCGGCCAAAGGCGCTGGCGGAAGCAGAAGCGACGTGGCTTATGCTAACAATGATAGGGCTATGGCCAGATTGTAGGTATCTCGAACCTCTCAAGCCAGCAATAGATGGCCGAGGAGCTCTGGACACGTCATCACAGATGTCCTGTTCTCAATCAGTCCACGTCATATGATCAATGGAGATGCATAAGGCAGGCAAGAAGACATCATAGATAGCTTCATGATATGACAATACACACTTCATGCAAATTCTTATGATCGTTAAATCAACGCTACCACCTCAACTCCTCAGATCTTATAACTTATAGCCCTTCTCACGATCCACGAATCTAATCCTCCCCTCCACCTCGGGCCTCACGACCGGCAACCTTGGTTCTCCAACCCATTCCTTGACCACGATGGTTCTCGCCCTCTCAATTCCAGCTTCATCCCCATGCATCCCTTGCTCTCTTCGTTCATATCCCAACACCCTAAGTAGAAGCTCCGTATCCGACATTGCGCCCTCTTCGTCCACCAGTGTCTCGCAGCTTTTGAAGCACCCATACCCATCAAATCCATCCGCGATAAAACCCACCATCGCGACTGTAAAACTTCGCTGTCCATCGCACGAGATCTCGACCGGCTGGCCACCGCAGCCAGGATGGAACGTAGCACTTACTACACGCGAGTTCTCAGGTGCTGACCAATCTGCGACGATGCTGAGGCCCGAGAAGTGGCAGAAGCGCCCGTCGGTATGTGCGTCGCTGACAGAATTTTCTAGTGCAGATAGCAGAACAGAACTTGGGACACGTTTGACTACATGCGCATTGTTGAACGGCAGAACGTCAATCATGTCACGTACTGTGAGCGGCTGGCCTGTGCTTGTGGTGCTGGGGATGAGGCGATCGCAGCGGATACTGCCGCTGTTGACAAGGGCAATGTCGACGGCATAGTATGCGCGAATCATGTCGGCGAGGAAGTTGCCGAGGTTTGTCTCGCGGGAGCGGACGATGGAGCCTGTGCCTTCGAGGGGCATGGGCGAGAGAAGGAGTGCGTGGGAGGTGAATGTGGACATGTGTTCGTTTACGTGTTTGAGAGAGTGATTGACTGCAGCTAGGGAGGACGAAAAAGCGTCAGTGTCGTGAGCGAGTTTGTTCATGTCTGCGACTTGCGCGACGGAGACGTTGTGCAGAGTTGCATCACCCGTGGCTGACCGGGATACCTGGAGACGCACAAGGCTGAGATTCTTCCAGTCCGACCCGGACTTCACGATGCGAACCGCCCCATTGGCATCGTGTGTCATGCCAGTATTCCCGGTGATTACTTCAGAGTTGGGTACACTGGCGTCAATGATGGTAGGGTCGTCGTATGTCAATTCCCCTTCAAATCTCCTTAGGAGATCATGATCGTGTCCTCCCAGAAGTAGGTCTATCCTAGAATCATCTGCAGGGTCTTTTAACGCCTCCGAGACGCCGAGATCTTCCACCAAGCGCATGTGAGTAATGGCAATAACAAAATCGCACTTCTCGACCCTACGAAGTTGCTGAGAAAGTGCCCGTGCCGCTTCTACCGGTGGGATAATGCAGCATTCTGGCAGGCCTTTACAGTTTGACGGCCAGTCGCTATGACTCGGTCAGTACAATGGGGTACGCCATCTGTCCCTAGTTATTCACTCACCTACCCGCCAGTCCGAAAAATCCTACTTTATATCCTTGCAATACAGCCGTGTGCCACATTTTTGCCCCCGCAAGCAATTCGCTCTCCCGCAATCTTCCCATCTCATCACAGACACTCTTGTTCACCTTGTCTTGTCCTCTATTCGAGCTCATCGCATTTGACAATAACCACTCTATCCTTGTCTTCTCCTTCAACTCTCTTAATCTCTCTTCACCAAAATCGAAATCTGTTCGTAAGATACCAGCATTAGCACGAAGAGATTTACACCTCTAGACCCTCTTCGTCCGGCCTAGAACGAAGACTTGACTTACCATGATTCCCGAGACACGCAATATCAATCCCGAGTTCTTCTAGCAATGTGACCATATGATCCCCTCGTAAGATACTTGCTTCGAGACTCGGGCTGAAAACATCACCGCTAAAAATCGTGTACGGCTTTGATTGCGCATATTCGGTACGCCAAGAGCGCAATTTTGTTAGAAACTTTGCAACCAGGGTGGGGTTGTCGATGTGGTACTATAAATCTGTAAGTTGGCGTAGGGGAAAGAGGGATTAAGGGGAGCGAAGGTATGAACAACAAGGCAGGCGGACAAGGAGTGGGAACTTGAGACATACAACATCATTGAAATGCAGAAAGGTGAGGTCCGTGGTAGCCATGGTTTGGTGGATTATGTGGACGGAAGGGCGCTGTGAGGTGTTCCGCGAGTAGGCACAGGTTATATCAAAAGGATAGAATTAAAACGAATCCTTAAAGAGCTTCCTTATGGTTCGCGGGGATTATATACTCCTATGCACGTGGTCGGTACTAGACCGTCCCGAGGGTCGTTTTCTGGGTTCGAATCTTGTGACAGGCGCTCGATGTGATAGGCGAAGGGAAACTAGCTGAACAAGCTAAAGAGGTTGTTCACTCGGAGTAACCTAGAAAATATAACCAAGAAAGGATAGGCGTGAGCGGACGCCTAAAACCTGTGAATTAAGTAAATAGCGTTATTGCCAAGGACCGGTGATGCGGCTTAGCTCATGGGGTGGCCAAGGGTTAGTAAATGACGTGTTTTACGGGACGTCTAGCCAAACTAGTAATTCGGATAAGGTACAAAATAGGTATATGGCCCGGGTAGCGATTACCACATTGAAGGTACAAACCTGACTCAGCACGCGCCAAGAATCTCACCAAAATCTTCTGTAAGGGACTCGACTCAAGAGATTACTATACTAAAGGCAATGCCGCGAAGATAGAGTCGATTTCAGTACTGGGCTAACTATCAAAGTATCGCGTAACTTGTTACTTATCAGGGTAAGATTATTGTAGGCCTGAACGCCGATTGGGCCGTTGTGAAGCACCAGAAACTAAAAGTTAAGCTATTGTATGGTCACGTGATCATGCGGGGTAGTTTCCAGGAGGCTTCCAGGAAGTTTCCATTCAGGAGTGCGCAGCTTATAGACTATCGTGATTTTATGTGATATTCTTCAATCTGCAAAACGAGCTAATCTTATCTTACATACTGTGGTAGGAAGTCGAAAAATAGTAACGTCACGATTGTTAAGCACAACAATAAAAGAGAGTGATTCACATCCCTTGCTAATCAGCGCTGCAACTTCTTAATAATTACCTTAGACATATCTTTATGTACAACAGGATAAGAAATAGAGGGAAGAGAGCTCTGAGCCTATCTTTGCTTATGAAGCCCAGAACGAGCCTATGTATGAAAACGTATTTTTTGTGTAACATACAAATTCCATCTATATCATAGCTAGCATGTGTCGGAGGAAAGCCCAGATACACTTACTGCATGGCAGTGCACTATAGCTCAGGCTATCAAGGACAACATGAATGATAACCCCGACACTCTTGTTACCAGTGGCGGCGCTTCACATCTTGCTACTTCTGTCCAAGCTCCATACTTCTCCTGCGACGCAATCGATGTTATTGGGATTCACGCTTATGGGGTGGGAGACTTAGATACTTCGAGCCTCCAATCATACGTCACACAAGCTCAAAACGCTAGCAAGAAGCTTATTATGCAAGAACGGAGTGCATGCTACCTTGATGCTTCTAAAAACGCGTGTAACGGTGGTTCCCCACTCGATTCCGGCATGCGCGACAACAACATCCTCACTTGGGCCTCACAGTTTGACGCTGCTGGCATTCCGTGGTTCTACTGGCAGATCATTTTCAACGCCGATCCTCATCAAGACTGGGATTATGCGGTCGGTATCAATGACGTAAACTGGCCTGCCCTCCAGAGCGCTTCCATAGCTACTGGGAACGCTACCTCTGCTTTTGACTTCAGAATGGACTTTAATTTATATTGTGGTGGATTAATCAAGGGGTATGCGGGTATGAGGTCCCAATGCTATTCAGACATGGACATAATATAAGGTACAAAGAGGAGGGTAAAAGAAGAACTATACATACTATTACCAACTTACAAGTCTTAAAACTCTTTACACTTGAAATACACATTCATTTTTATGAATTAAGCAGCCGAGCATATAGATGTGATGAACCTTCTAGATCTTTTGTACGTTCAAAGTCAAGTTTCTGCATATACCCAACTTTGGAGAGAGATGATGAATTGCCAAGCGTGAATGTAGAATTTAAAATACGGCAGAGCCGTTCACACGTTCGCGTCCCTTGATGATGTCCTTCTGCTTCAGTGGCCAAGACAATGCATTCATCACCCTTTTAGCACGGCTGTTGCTGGCACTCTCTCACTGTATGTATTCGTACTTGTACGGAAAGAATGGTCTGTTAGGAGTACCAGAGGAAATATATCTAAAGGTGAAGCTCTAGTCAAGAGTATTCTGATGGAGCTAGCGTACCGCGAGGATTTATGCGCTCTCGCGATTCTGTCGCCGTACGGACTAAGGACGAGGCTAGCCTTGATGGCTTTTGTCCGTACTGGATTGCAAAAGAATATTGTCTTCAACTACTGCTTTGATCTCTATAAGGGGTAGCCTCAAGTCAACAATACAATAAATGCCCACTTCTCGTGCGCCTTCGTAAATGGTTCATGACAATACTGTGGCTGGCGCTTTTCCGTTCCGGGTTCTAGACCCCTAGCCGACGCCAGCCACATCAACGCCACATCACACGATACTGTTCTCATGGAAAACCTTTGTTGCTGTAAATGTCTTATCAATGATACAATCGTTTTCACAATAATTTCAAACTCATAATTGAGAATTCATGTGCATGCTGCGCAGTCATGACTTTGACAGCAGATCGACGCATGTCGGTGTGGTCAACAGCGGACCCACAGAGGACTTTCCAAGATCAATGCACGTGGCGCCACTTCCAGCCCTAATCAGACATGCCAATGACGCCTCAGGAGTGTACCGAGATAAATGATCCTTGAATTTTGGAACAACGAGTAAGTACACACTTACCAGGTACAAAAGCGAAGAGCTGTCCACGTTCGTTCTTCTGTTGTAAAATTTCCTCCATCGATTCACCAGCAAAGTTGCCCAAATATGCCTTCGTCGTTACCATCCTCCTCCTCTTCCTCTTCCTCCCATGAGGACCTAGATAGTGGCATCAATGCTGCGAAACTAGAGGCAGCCAACCGCTATATCCGTTGGAACCTATTATTTCTCTCGACGATTTTCATCTTTCTTCTTTTCCCCTTATGGATGCCGTTTGTTCCCTACGTCAATCAAGCAACCAACCTCGTCATAGTAATCATAATTGGTCTTTTCCAAGTCATCTGGCTGATAGCCACTATCTGCGCCATTCGACGAACATTGGCCATCAATAATCGAAACAAGCTCAAGAATAAAAAAGCTGAAGATGTCGAATCAGCTGATGCCATGGCCAACAATACCTCAGCAATCCGTCACATAGTCGCTATGACCTTGTACAAGGAGCCTATGAGCGTACTTCAAACTACCTTGGACTCTCTTGTGCTGCAAAAAAATGCCAAATCCCAGCTCTCTGTCATCATCGGCATGGAATGCCGTACACCTGATAAGGAAGCCAAATACAGCGAGATCTACGCAAAGTACGAGGGTAAATTCCTCCGTCTCATCGTCACCTTCCACCCCTCGGGCATTCCTGGCGAGATCAGCGGCAAGTGCTCTAACATGAATTACGCCTGTCGCCAAGGTTTGCACATTCTCCGTCAAGATGTCGAATACAACTATGACAAATACGAACATATCTTTACCAACTGCGACTGCGACTCCGTTTTCGATCCGGAGTACATGCTGGAGTTAGAAACCCAGTACTACAAGCTGGATCCCGTCGACCGTCATTCGTCCATTTGGCAATCCATTATTATCTATAAGCGCGAATCCATGCCTTTTTTCGTCGATATTACCGGTGTTCTGCGTACCTTTTTCTTCATGGGTGTTTTGATTCCATGGAACATCAATCCAATGTCCCATTACTCTCTCAGCGTCAAGTTGTTAGAAGAGGGCGCCTTTACTCACCCATCTTATCAGATGGAAGATATTATTGCCTTAATCCGCTACACCATCATGACACAACGAGAAATTCGCATCCGGCCATTGAACCTCATTTCAATCAACGGTCCGACTTCCGGCGCCAACTATGGAGATGAAATCCGCGAATGGGCCCTCCAAATTCGCCGATGGACCATCGGGGCTGGTGAGGTATTCCACTACTTCATTGTCAAGACATACCGAATTCCCGGGCTTTATCTGTGCATCAGCTGGGCTACTCGCTTCTTCATCTACTATGGCCTCATTCTCTGCGCCAGTGCCATTTTCTCTGTGGCTTCCCCCATCATCGTTCAGCTCGTCAATCCAGTTGCTGCCCAACATGATCGACTGGTCATCAGCGACTCGCTCTTTTCAAAAATCTGCTTGATCTTCTTGGGAACACAGTATCTGTTTCTACTAATTGCAACTGTCCTCGTTCGTTGGAATCTACCTGTGCCCGGCGGTAGTGACAATCACTATAACAAGGGTCTTTGGGGAATAACAAGGGGTTTGTTACATTGGATGTTGATGTTGCCAACTGTACTGGCCTACAGTTTCATAGAACTCTATTCATTCTTCGAATTAGCCTTCCGAGGGAAGGATGTTTGCAAACATGATGCTGCTAGTAAGAGCAATCTAGTCATCATGAAAGGCGGTGGAGATGCTTAAGAGCCATATGTGTGTAGGTAATATAAGAACACCAAATAGAAACTAGAATAGACGGAGGCGACTTCCTAACAATAATAATACTGAACGATGTGGTCCATAGTGCTTCAGCCACCTCCACGCGCGACTCTATCTTTGCACCAAAATTGCGCTGCACCACCATAACTTCCCAATCAGTCAGAATAGAGTATCATTCTTCCGGGAAGTCATTATCTTCTATATTGTCTAATTCTACTTTGCGGGCGCGAGGGTAATGTCCCACTTGGCTCTAACGCCTGTAGCACCGTTCACTGCGCACTCTCTTCGCAGGCGTTATGCCGTCCTTCCAGTAACCAAACTTTGCCCTATCAACCTAATCAGCTACCGGGACAACTCTCCAGGACACCTCTTCCTGTATGTAGCGCTACCTGAAAGTTTTGTTTCGCGTTACTTCCATCGTAGCCTCAATGCGATGAGTTGTCTCTCATCCCAACCCCATTTCGTAGGCTATTTACTGGACTTTTCTACTGAGCTACTACGCACACCAATTAATAGAGCGTGTAGGAGGCCTTTTTTGATTGCATACGATCTCGAACAAGCGTAGCCCATGCTTCCATTTCGCGCGTTGCACAGCGTTGTCAGGTCACAGGCGCTCTCTTGCGCTAATAGAGTCGGCGTACACAACACGACGTTAAGCAAGACTAGCGTTGAGTCGGACTGATTCTGTTGCGGTTGATGGGATGTTAGGCTAGGCTTACGTCCGCATTTTATCAGCATTACTGTACCATCCTACGGGCTATCCATTAGCCAGGCAAACCTGGGAATTGCAAAGATCTGTTTGAGTCGACCGTTCAGGCATTCTATCGGAATGCCCGATTCGTAGAGCCCCGCGCATTACTCGACCACGTTAATATTGAGGCTTTCCAGGACCGTGGCGCAAGTTGCGATGACATTGAAGCCGGATGTCGTGGCAAAGAGGGATCGATGCGCTTTTTTCTTGGACCTACTGCTGTATATCGTTCTTCTAAACATGTGAATATTGCTTCGTGAAAGATGCTTATGAGCGGAGTAGCTCAGAGATCACATGAGCGTCCATGCGGAATCAACCGAGGTTAAAGTCCATTTCTCTCAAACCCTTCAAACAGTGATCTGATACCCGCTTACACGTCACATCCCTCGGACGATGACCGAGCCTGCTTAGCTTCTTTCGAACACGACATCATGGAAGCTCAAGAAGCGAATCGGTCACGTGTCACGGTGCCAATGTCGAGCCCTAGTGAGAAACGTAGCCCGGTCACAAAAAAGAGCGCTTTCTCATGTGACATCTGTCGCAAGCGGAAGGTTTGCAATCATCCATGATATTTGTCGGTTTCACATTAACTGATTTTAAGATTAGGTGAAATGTGATGGTGGGCATCCCGTTTGTAACCGGTGTAGGGCCCGTGGCGACGTGTGTATTTACAAGCTGTAAGACAAACAAGAAGCCTCGATTGTGCCGACTTCTAGATTGATGCATCGTAGTTCTCCTAGTTTGTCATACACGCAACGGTTAGAGCAAAGAGTTGCAGAACTCGAGGCTGCGCTTGCTGGTCTCAAAGCGGCGTCAAGCGACTCTCCGCTCGATCATGCCTCGGAAATACCATCTCGAACGTCAGATGTCCTTCCACACACTGGACTAGCAAGAGCTACTGAGTCACTGAGGGTTGAAGGAGACGCAGGAGTGTCGTTCCCTGAGTCCACGAGTCTTTTCCGGCTTCCTGGTAGTATCTGGACACGCCATATAGGTCAGGACCAAGCAGACCAAGAGATGGATGTTAAGAAGCAGGGTCTGATCAACAACGCATGGCGCGAGAGAGTATTCGAGAAGCTTGCAGATACGCCCGTTCGTTGTCCGTAGATCTTGCTAGATACAAGAGCTGAGTAAAGTTGTATAGGAGCCCTATCGATCTCTCATAGATTCTCATTTCTGCTGGATTCAGCCACTCTTCAATTTTATCTACCGGCCTGCCTTCACACGTAAGAAGTTCCTTCGATGCATGGTGTCCCCCGTTGACTATTTTCCATAGGCGATATGAAGACTGGTGGTCCTTACTTCTCACAGGCACTACTCAATGCCGTGCTCTCGCATTCAGTCCGATGGTGTCGTGGCGAGCCAGGCATGGAGCAATTACTCGCCCCTTTCGACGGTGGAGCGGCTTTCTCCAGATGGGCGGTTGAAGATCTTTTCAGAGATATCCAACATGGGAATAGCAAAATCCCTACCGTTCAGGCACTTCTACTACTGAGCGCTCAGCAATGCGGTTGTGGCAACCGCACTCAAGCGTGGCTGTACAGTGGCATGGAGAGCGATCGACCGAGAACAAACGCCGACAACATCAAAAGAGTGCAAGTGTAACAAGAACACAATCGCTAGCAACTGTATAGCACCAGACCAACTGTATGCAGTAGCGAATCGCTAGCGACTGACTGTATATCGCAACGGACCGAAAATACTGTTGTGTGGATGAGTTTGCGATCTGGACGCGTGAGAGAGATGGCCATCTCGACCCCTGAACGCGACCGCGACCACGAAGCGACATCCCTGCCAACCGAGCTACCAGCACCACTAAAGAGACGCGCAAGGAACA